GACCGGGCCGAAGAGCGTGCGACTACATCATTAAACCGTACATCGGCCCGAGGTTCAAAGCATCACCCCAGCCAGGGTGAGGAACACCAGCTCGTGCAGAACTTGATCAGTGCTCCAGTCAAAATCCTTGGAAGAACGTCTTCTAGGCGAGGTAATCGAAGCCACAGGACGATCTTCGGAAGAACGCACCTCCAGCGAACGCTTCTCCAAACCGTCATTTTCTTTCTCGAGGAGCTGGTCGTTGACTACCGATCTCACCGTAGGAGTTGTCGAACTCATACAGGCCAGTAGACCTTCTACAGGGAACATACGGGCTTGCTCCCAAGCTCCAATCTCTTCCAACAGGCTGGAGACAGCGGTCGCAACTTCAGGTGGGACTACGAACACGAAGGCCGGGGGGCTCACTTCCTCCTCTAGAACCTGGCGGAAACTTTCGACCGTATCCTTCCATACGTCCCCAGAGACGACAGTAGACTCTGGCGAGGAAAACAAGGTAGGACCATCCTTAGAGCAGGCCGAATCCCCAGTAGCTCTAGGAGGCATGGTCGGCCCGTGGAACCCTTGGGCCGAGCCCCGATCCATAGTCCCAGTCAGCGGTAAATTACGTCTCGGAGAAGGCTTTGCAGTACGATACAGTTCACCCAACAAGTCATCCAATAGACCGCTGGACGGACACGTAGCCTCCACAAAGACAAACGGTGGGTCACCTTCCACGACAACAGATGGCCAACGTTTAGTACGACAGCGTTCAAAGACCATCAAACTTGCACGACCCGCATGAATATACACCGAGTGAACGTCGTCCGAGCCGTCGGTAGGGGAAAGTCTCCCCAACAAGCACTGTCGACCAACCAAATCTCGTCGTTGTCGTGGTTGACCAATACCTCATCAAATGTCATCGTCCACGACCAGTGTCGAAATCGGCACCAACCCTGGGACATTTCGGTTTCCGAAGGAAGTCAGATGAGTGCAACTCATCAGAAGGCCAGAATCGGGCCTTGAATCGAGCTTCCCTAATAGCAGAGGAAGCAACACGGTTCCCGAAAGAACTCATCGGAAGGCCAAAGTCGTGGCCTTCAACCAGGCATCCCGAATATCAAGGGACGCAACATACTCAGCCATCGCTCCTATCCGGGTCTCACGTTCCCCGAACAGTTGCTAAAGCTAAAACGAACTACACACTGGCAGTCACCGAATCACGCCGGTTGATCAGGCCAACATAATCCGCGACAAAATCCCAGCAGCAGTAAAACGTCAAAATAATCAAAATAACGGGGCCCATCGAATACATGCATGCAATAACAACAACAACTCAGCCGGCTCTACACTACTCTACATTCTCTCCTCCCTCCCCCTACTCAGAGCCACGAGGAGGCATCTGAGTAGCAGAGGAAGAATAGGAACCATCCTGGCCATAGTGGTCAGGACTGAAAAAGGTCGTCTGATGCCTAGTTCGTGCTGAACGTCGAGAACTAACCTGGCCAACCTGGCTAGTTTGAAGGTCGTTGGCATCATCGGAGATCATCGTCGTGGTCGGAACCAGTCCGACCTGAGGATCGCCTCCATCATGAGGACAGACAGCAGGGTCCTGTGCAAAAGGTGCAGGGGGGAGCACAGCGTGACTCTGCGGGAAATTGTTACCCTCCACGGCTAGCTCGGGGCCGTGTTGGATCAGGGGGTGAGCATCGTCGTAGTCAATCTCGGCAACCTCTGAAGTGTCCTCTAGGGCAGTATACACTGAGCCCCGGGGGCTTCCCAGAACACTTGTGACAGAGTGATGGTCATCGTTGCTCTCCTGAGCAGCAGGAGTAGCATTCTCACCCTCAAAGTTTAGCGGCTGGAGTGGCACTTCCAGCGGAGACTCCAAAGGTGGGAGTCTCGGACCATCGGGCTGCACCTCTGGCAGGTCAGCCTCTTCAAACAGAGAAGGATGCCTACACGGCTCCTCCCCAGCATCATGTTGTTCGATCGTTGGGGCAACGTCATAGTCATCAAAAACCTCAGAAATAGGCTGATACTCAGCGTTAATCGAGGAAGCTTCTTCTCGGGGTGCAGGTGGTATATTCGGGGCCGAAGAAGGTGGCGGTACGGGTCTTCCTCGGTCGTCCCCAAACGGGAACTCGGGAATAGTCGGGGCTTCTCGTGCTAGAGTTGGTCGTTGACGAGCAATACCGAGTTCGGCCGGGACATGCTCCGGTTGCAGAGGGTCGTTGATCACATGATCAATAGAGATGACTTTTTCTGCCATATCTGGCCATCGACGTAATACCACCGTCTTTTCATTCGTGCCCGGGACAAACTTCAACACATACCAATTAGGTTGCCAGCGAGGCAGGAGCTTGTGACC